CAGACACACAAGAATCACACAACAAACAAATAAGTAATGATCTCCGGATGCCTTCTCACTCACTCCGAAATACACTAATCAGGTCAATAAATGGGCTACGAGACATACCATGCAGAGGGAGTTATGGAGTCTCTTTTTTTCTTCATGTGCTGATGAAAGTCAGTCTTCGTTCAGCCCCATGGTGAACTAACTAACAGTAATGGTTCCCTGCGGCTTTACATCAGGCCACAGCCATAAACAGTGGCTGATTATTTTGTGGCAAGAGGTTTGCGAGGTGGCGGGTCTAGGATTATAGGAATACGATACATGAACAAATAAAGGGGTTGAATAAAAATAACTAAAGCTTTTCACAATTTTTTCCACCAATCAATCCGGATCTGTTGGTGTCTTATAGAAAGAAAGGAAAGAAAGCCAAAGAAACATATTGATCCACGAGCACGAGGTGGCAACTATTGAAAGGACCTGCAGGCTATGAAAGATTGGAGGAAGATCGAATGAGAAAGAGAGCACTTACCATCTAAGAGACAGTTTAGCCCAATTACTCTGTTAATTCTTTTATCTTTCTTTTTTAAACAGGGTCTTTATTCAGTACATTTCTGCTTGAAAAGCACTTTATCTACTGCCTTTAACTTTGGATTTTTCAAAAGCAGGCATCACTGCATCACATCAAATGATTGTTTTAGTAAACTAAAGATAAAACATGTATGTTGCGCATGACTTTCTCACAACTTTCTTAGAGCAGGAATAAAAATGCCTACAGTTTATACAACATTTGTCCTTGACGGACTGAGAACGTGTGCTCTAAAAATGATCTGCAACCTCACGACGTCTGAGGCAATCAGTCCCAATCTTCACACTGTGACAGCTCATTACGGCGCTTGGCTACTTGCCCAATAAGGCTGCATTTGTTCTCCTGTCACCACAGGGACATGACACCACACTATCTGAAAGATGAATGACTTTGTGATGATAATGACTATAATAATAAAAGCAATGACACTAACCAAAGGAAAGCCACGGCTTTCAGACGAGATTGAGACAGACTAAGAATTGCTTTAAAACCCAACTTAATGCAATCACAATAAAATTCACCTCATCTTTGACAGGCCAGAGACAAAATACTCTATCTTTTACTTTCATATGACGTGGCTGAGTGAAATCAAGCTTGTCAAACTTTGTGTTAACTGCACAGTTAGTGTGCCAGCACGCTGTCATCACCTTCAGCAGTGATACTTGAACATCTGACCTGAATGTGAAAATCTCATCACCTCAGGAAGAGTCGAAAACATCTAAGTTCTAAAAATAAGAAATGTAATTTAAAATAAAAAAGCAAATTTGTCTGAAAAACTTGGAGTTGCCTCTGTGCAACTATTTCTTTTCCATTTTTGGTCATAATAAATAAAACATTACTTTATTTTAGTCATTAGAAGTCCACAAAGGAGTTTTATCTAGGATATGCTCATTGGCTGCAGACTTGTGACTTAGAACCAATGAGTGCGCAGATTGACCCCTCATCCTCGCATCCAGTTTGAAAACGCCAACGACTGTGAAAATGCTTTTCTCAAGGCTTCAAAATGGGACAAACCAAATGTCACAAGTGATAAAAGCTGTCACTGCTAACATTTAGCATGTAGAAATAGTTTCCAAAGAGCACCCACTCTTTACGCTACCTGCACTGCAATGTTTCTGCCACAAAAACTGTTGAGCCCAGTCGCTGCGAGAAGAAGTGTGGGGGGCATAACACTGAATACTGCAACATAATCACCTCGTTATGAAGCCGTGTGGCACAAACAGAATAACCGCACAAAGAGAAAAGCTACAACGGCAAGAAAGCCCTAAAAGGTTAACTACATTTTCATACAATAATAGATGACTTAGCCTACCATAATTAATTTCCTTTTTTTAATATGTAATCAACAGGAACAGCAGACTAATACGATATGTCAGGTTAACAGTAGCTTTAAATTAAAACTTCTGTCTATTAAAATATCCCCTGTGCTTAGGCAAAGGTAATACAATCAATTTATTTTATTACCGCTTTATAGCTATCTACCAAACTAGTGACTAGGGGATCTCCCATCTGTTCATCTTTCCTTAACTGCTAGTTCAATTTATAGTCAAGACTCTGGCTACAACCTAGACGGGTCACCGGTCGATCAGAGGGTCAACACAGAGACACAGACAAACGTTTAGTCTCATATCCACACCTAACAATTAATCGAGCATGTCTTTGAACTGGTTGAGGGCAAACCTAACTCAACATAATAAGTCACCGGTTAACCAGGAGGTTTGGAATCAATAACCTTTTTTCTCTTAACCAGTGAACTAACCCAGTATCAAATACTGCATTTTTCCCCTTCACTACATTAACTGTGAATAACTCAAACTTTCTGATAAAACTGTCCACCAGTAATGAAATGTTTCATACATTGTCCAAATTGTGAAGGTGCACGATATACCTTTCAGCTTATCGTGCATTAAAGCCAGTATCTTACCATTATTAAGCCAGCTAAACTGTCATTATACGTGTCGCTTTATAATTTAATCGCAGGAATTACCCAGAAACAGATTTGCTTATTAATGTCTCCCTCCTGTCTCTCTCACGACTCTCTGCCATTCAGACGATGTCCATGAGTAAAATTGGCAGACTTTAATGTGTATTCAGACTGTATCGAATCAGTTTCCCACCACCCCAGGGCATAATAGGAAACAATAACTGAATTATGACATGAATGATAGCCAATTGCTCACAGTTCAGGCTGGAGACAAACTCGATGACATAACATTGATCTACTGACTCCTTCTATTTCCTTTTCTGTTTTATGCCTGACACTGACCAGTGCAGCATAAAAAACTATTTCTTTTATGAGTTAAAAAAAACCCACATTTCTGTCTTTTTTAACCTTGGCGCACATTTTTTGTTAGGCGTTGGTTAACATCTCTCCATGCTCTCTCGCTCTCTCTCTCTCTCTCTCTACAAATCCTCTCTCTTACAAACTAAGAAGGAGCCATCACGCCACACGGTTTGCACCATGATACATTAAAGCCATTACTTACAAGCACACCGGCAGTGAAGGACAACTGTGTTATGCAGGCTAATACAATGCTCAGCCAAGCACACGCAGAGGCAGGAAAGCCACAGAACTTGGCCTATATATCATACTGCGGGATTTAGCAAGATTTTGGCACACACAGAGAAAGCTATATGCTACGTCTAAATCACGGGAGTCAGTCGAAAAGTGAAAATGTAAAGGTCTGCATTAATTGTCTGCTGATACAATTATTATGTCCATCAATTTATTTTCTTTTGCTTATACAATTTAGGGTCACAATTGTGCTGGTGCTAATCCCAGCTGCTATAGGACAATAGTTGGGGTACATGGTAGACAGGCTGTCAACCTACTGACCGCTAACAGAGAGACAGAAAGACATTCACAGATACAGCAAGTTTAGAATCATCAATCAGCCTAATGCACATTTAGTTGTACTAATTCATTTGTACCCCTCAGGTATAAAAAGCCGATGGGGTATTGTCACCCTGCCTGAGGGGCAGGTGGGCGCGCACTGTGGACACTGAAATGGGATAACTCGAGAACGAAGTGAGTGAAAGAGTTTCAAATTGACACAACTGTGCATCTACAAAAACATCTCAAATGTGGGAAAATATCAGTGACCTCAGACTCAGGGACCAGAGGTAAGGTTTTCTGAAAATCTTGTGAGTGCGATAACACAAGAAGGACGTCACTTGGGATTTTTAAAAATTGATACGATTGGTGCATCTCCTAAAAATGTCAGACAAGTGTGAATCCTCACTCAGAGTGACTGAGTTCAAGGTCAGAGGTCAATGTTTCTGAAAATGACCTTTCTAACTAATACAATAGGCACATCTACTAGGAGGCTGAGGGGTAGCACCCGTGGCCACTAGTTTTATTGTTTGAAAGTATTTAGTTTTAGTTCTGTTTTTATTTAGTTTAACACAATTTATTTTTCTAGGTTTTTAGTTTATTCTTTGTGGGTTCTGTCCTCCAAGATTAACTAGGAACAAACGTAAACAAAACATCCTAACGCTTCACAAAAGGGCCTTAGCTGGCCATTTGCTTTAAACTCAGGACCTTCTTGCTGTAAGGCAACGGTGCTAAGCAACACACCACCATGCTACCTCACATTTGTTATGTATGACTTTTCATTTTCAAATAAATAGTCTAATTTGCTCAGCTTTAGCGGTCCTATTTAATAACAGACTATTTTTTGTAAGAGCAGCTACAAGTATTATTAACATTTTTGTTATTAAATTGACTGCAAAAACTGCTGAGACTACCAAGAATACTTAAAGCGAAACAGACTCATTCTTTCAGAACAGATATTGGATCTAAACAATAGCTGAATGAAGCTTTGAAACGTGAATTGATGCATGTTGCTGTTCAAAGAAAAATAATTATATATCTGACTTGCTCGGTCTCAATAATAGTTTAAGGATCGATAGTGTTGGTCACACCCAAATGTGCTTGTACCCCATGATTGCAGTCATTAATTACCCTTGTCCCCATATTCCAGGTGCTAGTTTAAGAGTTCAAAAGGTCAGTTCCTAAGACAGCATAAATTGTGCATGGGATGAGAACAGTGTTCCCAGTCTAACATACTGTCGAGAGTTATCTCACAGGCAGCACAAACCCTCTGACACCAACCTTTATTAAGAGCATGCTCAACAAAAGGAAGCAAGCTCAGCGCTTCCTTTCTCTCCTGAACTCACTATCATTTTGCTGAACTCATCCTTTCACCAGGAATTTACTTTTTGTCAGCTTTTCAACATCTGTTCACTGCTCAAGGTTATTATTTGACTCCTGTTAGAAAATCGTTATGATCAAACAGACCAATCATTCTTCCTGGTAATGCCATAAAAGAGACACAGAGGCCTTGCAAACCTTTTGACTTTATATTAAGTTCCGTAATCGTTCAAGACACTTTAAATAAGGGACAGGGAAGAGGCTGGTCCAACTTACTGTGTTGGCAGTGAACTCCGCTGAAACCTGGTAGACACTTGCACACATAACCAATGAAGGTATCACCCCTGTAGGTCTCACTGATCTCACACGTTCCTCTGTTGTGGCAAGGGTTTGGATGGCAAGGACCTGCACAGAAAAAAGAAGAATACAGACACCGATGATGGGGGTGGCTTTTAAAAAAAAATTTTTTAACTGTACACACAAGAGCAAATTGCAGCAGATAATATTCCACAATAATTTTGGTATATGATACAAAAGTGTACTTAGACATCATTATCCAGCCAGTAGTCTAATAAACTAAACAATGGGTGTCCCATTAAACACATCTACAGTTTTTAATAGCACACAATAACACACAAAGTTTTAATACATAAGGTATTCTGGGAGACATCGTGAGGTGGTGTTTAAGTAAAACTGCTTGACAGGAGAAACTGAGGATGAAAGGAGTGTCGGGAGAGTCTGTCTTTCAGTGACTGCTGCTGGTGTCTGTTGTCTAGAGGGCGGCCCAAGGCACCGTCTAGAAATCACTGAATGTGTCCCCTCCAGGAAGGCAACACTTCATTCTCACAGTGCTAAGCGAAAAGCACAGACTAGCTGCAAGGTAAAATGGAGCACCACCATCTATGCACTGAAATGTACCCACGGCATCACCCACGCATACGTACACACACAGATCCTCACACAAATAAGTCGAGTTTTGACTAAGCAGTTACTTAAATTTGAAACAAGATTATTATTATTTTGAATTAATGAAAAGTGGCCATTGTTGTGAACAATTCACCAGTTTTAAGAGTTTCTGTTCATGCGTCCCCCAAAATGGAGAATCGTTATTAATACTGTACTGAATTTGTACTCCACAGAGCAAAATAATAGTCTCTGAAGAAGTGATTGCTCAAGTGATTGCCACTGTGAAAGTACTGCTGCTGTCCTGAATACTAGGGGCAGGCTAGCCAACCTCTGAGGGTTTGAACAATATAAGGTATAGTCTAAAGTTGTGAATGTGCAGCAGAATGGCCAGCACAAACGCACTGTCTTTAATAGTTATAAATATATTGGTGCAAAAAACATTTTAAAAAGGTCACATGATGTTCTTATTTTGCTCCAATGTACATTAAATTGTTAACTCCAATGACTGCAATGGCTTTTTTATTGAGATACTTGTTGCCCTTTGGTGTTCCAAAGTACTTTTGTGACACAAAAGCATTACCAAAAGACAGAAACATTGTTTGAATTTCAGAAAATTGTAGCAAATTTACTCTACTAATAAACTGAGGCAATCCTTTAAGTCACTTCATTTGTATTGGAACATACTGTTTTCTGCATAGTTTGCTTCAGTGGATGTTTTTATTGCTTTCAGTGCTGTGCAAATGACCTCCACCAATAAAATCTGTCCATTTGGTTGAAGTTACCCCATGTTGTGCACAGATAACCGCAGTTCAGCATTCCTACAGAAAATCAAACGCTTATGCTGTACCCTGTGTGAGGGTCAGTGCTGCTCAGAACACAAAAGGCTCCTATGAGCCAAACACTAATTTGCAAGGGAATTCATATTCATAGCCACAAATCACATGTATTCACATGCTGTGTAAACAAAACCCCATTCATCATTACCATTGTTTTCTCATCAATATTTGGGTGCACAGAACACTGGGAAGCTTCGCCACTACAGAATTCATGCTTTGGGATTTAAGCAAACAATAGAATGAATTTCAATAAAAAAAGAAAAAAAAAGAAAAAAAAGAAAACGCCTCAGAGTTACGCCGGTAATGATTAATAACTCTGTTGGAGCATGATTCTTTCCATGTTTGTTGCTGTTTTTTCTTTCTTCTTTTTGTTTTTGTTCTCGTTATGGTACCTCTTTGCAACCCATAATGATAACTAAGGTTATGAATAAAAATTATTATAACAAAACCTGCTGTGTATGATACAGCAATGAATTAATTAACTGCCAATGCCCACAAAACTGTGACATTCAAAATCTTTCATGAACTAGCCTGCAGAATGAGGCAAAATGTTAATGATGACGCCTAGATGCAAGCTTGTAGGTTTCATAACTCAAAAACCTGCCAATATCTGTCTAATCTTTTATACATTGAGTTGTACAACTGCACTGAGTCTGTCAAAACTTTGCAGATTGATGGGGCGTGTTCGTTGCTCACCTAGTGATGTGTGCACTTAGGCTGAATTCTTACTGTGGTCGCCCAGGCTTGCATCCACCCCAGACTCCTTGCTGCATGTCAACCCTCGTCACCCACGCCTACACCCAGGCATCTGGGTGCTAGCTAGGTACATGTCAATTGATCATTTATTGTAAAATGTAATGTTTAGATTAAATCTTATTATAAACCACAAAATCATTGTTTGCCTGTCCGCAAACTCCTCCTACAGGATCACAAGTACAGCAACCAAATACGGGAGACATCTTTAGCCAATGAAGGTTCTTATTCTATATCATGACATTGTCATGTTGCCAAGCAACCAGCTACCAAAGGGCTTAAAGGACCCATGTTTAGCATTTGCGCAACTAAAGCAGCTTATAAAAGCATGATTTTGATTTAATTTATATCCAGAAAAATTCAAATGTAGTATATTATAATACGACCATGTTACCTGTGAACCAGTTAATTGATATTTATATAATGGAGCAGCAACTGAGCTTTGTAAGGGACCCATAAAAATGGGCTAATTTTAGTACAGTATTTATTTTTTTGAATCTATTTATCTTTCATGCTTTTTAATCTATAAACAAGAGCTACCACATTGCCAACAGCATGAACTGACTGCACAATCTGCATTTAGTAATGATATCTAACATGACTCTAAAGTTTCAAAAAGGCTGCTGAGAAAAGAACTAGCAAATCCGAATTCTTTTCATCAGCATGCCCTTGTAAGTTTCCTATCTTGTGATGCGATTTCTATTCCAGTCATTTTACAGTCATATCTTAGAGTTGACAGGGAAACTGTGCTTTGACAGGTCTCTTATTTCATTTTAAGCGATGGGAAACAAGAAGAAGTCTCAAGGGTGAGAATCTCATGCCCTCTTAAGTCAGTTTGACAAATTAGCAGCCATGAGCACAACATTTGACAACGTCAAGTAAAAAGCTGCAGCCTTAAATTGTTTACTATATCAACAGGGCAACCATTTCACACTAGCCCCAACCCATAAAAAGAATAGGAAAAAAAATGAAGTAAATAAACAAATAAATACAAAATCACTACCGACCCTATTATTGTTCTCTCACTGGAATTAGTAGGCCTCTAGGTGTGAATTTCAAATGAGGTAATCCTATCGAAGTCATGCTATTTCAAATCCTGGACCTGTATTAGTAATAATCAGAGTGGTGGATAATCAGTTGAACAGAGGCTTGTATAATAGCTTTCACAGAGGACCTGCTCACTGTGAGAAAGGGGGTTGACAGGTTTCAGGGCTCTTTTGATGTAATGATCTGTAGTCGCACCATGCTGTACTGACAGCATCCCTAATGGCAAGTGCATAAAACAGAAAAAGTGGGGACAAAAGGAGGTAGTGAGAGAGAAAAGAGGGAGGGAATGGTTTCTCAGTTAGTGTGTCAGAGAGATACAAAGAGTGTTCAGTATGACATCTACATTTGATTTCATAATTTCTGTCAAAAAAAAAAGAAAAACAGGAAGAAAAAAAAAACGCCCCAGTGTGCCGGAAATTAAGCAAACTTTTGTATGGTATGAGTTCAAAATAAGCCAAAAACTGAGGAACTGCAGAACTGTTATGAGTCAGGATCAAATGCCAGATCACATTAGCACACATACAAAAATCTGACATCCACTTAGCATATAATATCAAAAACTGTTCATCTGAGAGAGAGCAAATTGTCTCGCCAGTGGAAAACACCACATGAAAATTGCAACAGCTACTTTCGTGCCCTCGGTGGGCTGAGACTGACACAATTTTTCAGAAACTTACAAAAAACATGAACCAAAACAAAACCGCGTTCTGTTTCTAATTTCTTGGGAAAATAATAGTTACAAAAACATTTTTAAAAAAAGAAATAAGTTAGTTTATAGTCTCCAAACTTTTCAACTAAAAGGATGATGATTTTCATTAAGAAAGAAGTGTTTTTTAATGCTATAAACAAAAAAAGAAAGAAATCCCTTATTCACTCCAACAGCTGCCCATTTCTAGAAAGGATTAAGTACTGGGAGCCATGATGGAAGCAACAGAGAGGAAAAACCAAACACTACTTAGAGAAAAGAAGCAACTTTCCAAGGAAAGGCGAGGGAGTAAACATGGTGTGCCATTAAATTGTGTTTTCTTCACACAAACACACACCATGTACCATTTAAGTTGTGTGTTGCTGATTGCTGGAAAGTATTAGCTGCTAATGCTTCTACTACAATGGCTTGCAAAAGTATTCGGCCCCCTTAAACTTTTCCACATTGTCGCATCCACAAACAGCCACAAACATGAATCAATTTTATTGGAATTCCACGTGAAAGACCAATACAAAGTGATGTACACGTGAGAAGTGGAACGAAAATCATACATGATTCCAAACATTTTTTTCAAATAATTAACTGAAAAGTGGGGTGTGCTTAATTATTCAGCCCCCTTTGCTCTGAGTGCAGTCAGTTGCCCATAGACATTGCCTGATGAGTGCCAATGACTAAATAGAGTGCACCTGTGTGTAATCTAATGTACACACGGGTATTCACAGACGCGGACTACAGCTTTCTTGGCTGCTGCCTCAAAGCACATTGTGCGCTGTCTATCTTGCGTGCTGCACAATATCGTTTATTATTTAGTATCTACTGATATCTACTGCTAGCTAGTTTATTGTGATGGTGCCGTTTTTTTTATTATGTTGCTCTTTGTTGTTTGCTTTCTCTTCTGGTTTTTTTCTCCATACAGGTGACCCAGGTGTTTTTTTTTT